ACAAATGCAGTTCTTAAGGGTACTCGCGGTAAATCCCTGCATTTAAATCCTCCCAGAAGTAACTAATACTATCAACAGAATATGTATATTCGGTATAATCTTTATTTAACTGTGAAAGTCATTAAAGACACATTTTTCCTGGAAAAGGGTGATACAGAAAGTGGTCTTGGGCTAAAAAAAAAAAAAAATCAAACATTTCAACATACCACCTGGTAAAATACTGCCCCCTGGTGGTGCAAGGTTTATTTAAGATTCGCAGCGGGTAATTACATAAAGTACCTTTTAGGACCAGCAAACTGTGAAGCACCATAATAACAGTAATGAAAATAATAATAAAAAAAATATTCATGTAGTTGTCCTTAAACATCACCACACATGTCAAACATTCATGAAACCCTTTCAATCAAAATGTAGCTTCTGTTGAGACAATCAGTTTGGGTCAGTTGATATATTCATCAGCTAAGGACAAGTATTGATGTGTGTGTGTTTTTGGTTATTTGTGATATTTTGCAGGTATAGTTAAGATTAACAAGTGATGACCACTCATGGCTTGTTTGATTTTTTTTTTTTTTTTTTTGTTTAATGGCCTGAGTGATGTCATTGGGAAAGAACTGCTATAGACCAAATGACCTGAAACAAGGATGGGAACAGTCAGTTGTGGAAACGGAAGAAAAAAAGTAAACTATCAGTGACTAGTATTTTTTGCAGTTGCCATCTTGTTTTGTTTTCTGCTTATTGTGAACCAAAGTGACCGTATTTGAATAAGAAGCTAGGCATCGACAAAGAGCTGGGTCTGAATGAGAACCTAAAAACACCATGTACGTCTACATCCTGGCATCTTATCTATTCCTTTTTTCTTTTTTTTTTCCTCGCCTGTCCCGTTTGGTTCTTTTGCCATCAGAATTATTGTCTAAAGGCAAAGAAAGATGCCCAACGGATTTCTTTCACCAAATGGACCATCCCGGCCTTGCCGCATTGGTCCATTTGATTGACCTTTGTTTTTATTGTTTATTTTATTTTATTTTCACTTGCTACACACGGGACAGACATGACTGGGGGAAAGAAAAGGGAGGAAAAAAGAGAGGTAGGGAAAGAAAAACAGCGGGGAAGAGGAACGGTGATAAAGGGCAAAGAACAAACAAAACAAACAGACAAAAAATACATATTTCAATCACCTGTTGAGAAAGAAAAAAGAGAAAACAAGCAAGAAAAGAGAGCAATATAATGAACAACATCATTGCGATAATCTAACAGTAAAAAACAGTAAATATTGAATATTATTGTGCAGCACGTAAGATCGACAGCGCACAGTGTAATTTGAGGTAGGAGCCAAAAAGGGTGTAGTTTGTGTGTGTGAGCACCTGTGTGTACACCCCCGAAGGGGCCCGAGCGAGCCCCACGCTCCAGGCCCCGACAAGCAGCCACCAGGAGTGAGCCGGTGCATACCTGGACGCCCATCCCCGGACACCAAGAACCACCAACGCACCGATGTCTGAGGGTGTCAGCCACCGACAGGGAGAGTGGTGAGGGGAGATAGACCTCCATACCTTGGAGGGCCTGAGATGTCCCTAGAGAGGTGGCGTCTAATACCCGACCTGACATATAGACACAGACAAACAGGCACACACAGAAACGAACATCCATTCCCACCCTCATGCTCTCATATGCACTTACTCCACACTCACCCAACGTGGAGACAGACATAAATAGACACTGTACACACAATCACACTCCCCAAGCGTACTCTATACCCCAGGTCTAGGTACCCTTGCATCTTATCTATTCCAAAGTAGCTGAATCTTAAAACTTATCTTCCTGGACCGTTTTACTCTGAATGGGATCATCAGCCATCATAAATCCACTAAAAAACTTAGCCTACTTGGTAAAAAGTGAAAACTCTACTTTTTGCAACAGTGCAGTTGTTTTATGTTGCTAATCTGAAAGAATGGCAGTTAGCATCACTTTGAAGCTAGGTTCACTTTTTTATTATCTCTGTGAGATCAAAATATGCTCACTGTGTTGTGCTTATTCTATCATTCAAAGTTTAAGTATTACAGGATTGTGAGGTGTGCCAGTATTGGATTGATTATTAGCCAGCATCTGCTATTTGGGCTAAGACTTTAGACAAGCAGTCCCCAATCCCCGGGCCGCAAGAGTTGAAGCTCGGGTGTGAAATTTATGGTTTATCGCTTTTTTTTTTTTAAAATCATTTTTATCATTAACTCTGTTTCCATGGGTCTTTTCCCGTGTGTTATGAATAAATCCTCTTTTTTTTGGTACCAGTACTAGTTTTATTTTGTTGTATTTATCCGCGACACCTTAACGGCCGATCCATGAAAATATTGTCGGACATAAGCCGGCCCGTGGCGCAAAAAAGGTTGGGGACCGCTGCTTTAGACTGTATATAAAATTGGAGGCCAGTGTCAGGATTTGACCACACCCATTTTGATTCTGGGGCCAAAAGTGGCCATATTTGAACAGAAGGTGGAGCGCTAAGTTATCACCTGTAACGCTAACAGAAACTCCAGTAGGTCAGGTTAATCACCGTCATGTGTGTAATCCTTGTCACCTTTATTTCCATACATGGTCATTTGTTACAATAGTGGAAATCCATAATAAATAAGCACCATAGATGATCCGCAGAGCAATAACAAACATTTAACCTTCGTCATGAGACATATAGGAGAAAAGTAAAAGGCTGTTGGAATCAAAGAGTTAGACCAGCGTGTACATGTGCAAATGAAGTCAATATAACAACACTGTATTTTAGCTCTTTAAAAAATGGTCACATTGCCCAACCAAAAGCACGCTTTCACATATAATTGTACTGCCTAAGGGGCCCTTCGGGGATTGACTGTTACTAGTTACACCTCTCGATGTTCTGATTAACGGTAAGATGCTGAAGATAACGTTCTCACAAAACTCAGTAGTACTCACTCATCTTGGGAGCAGACATTTGAGTGTTACAGTGAGTTTGATGCTTTCTCTATTGTTTACAATTTTCTATCGGGCTGGTTTGATCAACGACACATTACATTCACTATAAAGATACATTCTTAATGCAAAACTTCCATTCAATTCACTTTCACAAGAATTGGCACCTTCGAGGGACTCATCAGCATCAGCAGTTTATTCCATATGTCTTTTAAAAAAGCTATTATGGAGAAGTATATGCACCACATCTGTGGACAAGCAAGCAACACTTCATTTTTCCTAGTTCAGAACACTTCCCTGAAGGCACAACCAGGAAACTCCATTGTTTCTTTGAGGGCAGTGTTCAGCTTCGTGTGCCAAAATCAACATGGCTTCCAGGCAGGCCATTCTGATCTCTCGTGAGCGAACTGAGGCGGTCTAGCTTTGGTATTTTACTGTGTACTGTAAATGGACTTCATGTACTGAGGCACATATCCCGTGTGCTAAGCTGAAAAGAACCTGTTATATTATCTGTACATTAAAGGTATGTTGACATCAGTGAGGATCAGAGCGAACCAAAGATTGAGGCTTTGCCATCAAATGAGTTCAGGAACCATGTCGATGGTGACGAGAGGCACTGGAAGAGCCTGAGGATAAAAGAAGAGCTATGGCAGAAGTCCCATCTGTTAATGCGTTTGCTTTTTTTTTCCCCTCTGAAAAGAAACTGTTTGGAAAGAGTAGTTTTCTTAAACCTGCCTTTGTGTTGCAATATACAAATTGAACCTCCTAAAGCTACCACTGTAGTTAAGGAGTCAGTTTACCCAAATAGTACAAAATACTCGTAATTAGAAGTTATAAGCTACTCAAAAACTTTCATTTGCCCAGATTTGAAGATATACAGTACATGAATGGGATTTTGGCCAGCACTAACCTAGTATAATTTCAGTGTCTGGTGTTTAAAAGATTAAAATGATATTTAAAAAGGGTCAATTTGTAAAAGTTACAGTTCTTTTTTAGAAACTAACATTTTCAAATTCTGAAACAGAAAAGCGTTTGCTAGCTTCCTCTACAGCCTAAACTGACCCTGCAGTATAAGACACTGTTTGACATTTTGGGAAGTGTATTTGCTTTCTTGCCAAGTTTTAGCTAAAAAGTCCAATATCATCATGCATACTAACGCTAGACATAGCTACCTCGGGTTAGCATGAAAACCACAACCTAATATTTTCTTAATATTTCAGTTTTTAAGTGCCCAGAAAATGAAATTATATATGTTAATCAATTAGCTTTGCAAGTGTCAGTGAAGTTTTTATATATAAACAGTACTAGGCCACCATTTTAACTTGTGTTACGCTAGGCTAATTGGTTAGCTACCTTTATCAAACGAGCCATTTCTAGCAATTTCTGACCAAAAAATCTATGTATGGGGCCAAAATGCTTTTTGAGGTGTATGATGAAGGAAACTACGGAGCCCCGCAGGGGACATGGGAGAAAAAAAAATTAAGACTGACTTTTGCGAGATCTCGCAAAACTATCTCGGGATCTCGCAAAAGTTTTGCGAGATCTCACAAAACAAACTCGGGATCTCGCAAAACTTTTGCGAGATCTCGCAAAACAAACTCGGGATCTCGCAAAACTTTTGCGAGATCTCGCAAAACAAACTCGGGATCTCGCAAAACTTTTGCGAGATCTGCAAACAACTCGGGATCTCGCAAACTTTGCTAGATCTCGCAAAGTTTTAGCCGCATTCTTCCCGTTAGCTCGAAGCTAACAGGAGGTCGAGACCTACTTCAGCCGGGAGGAACACCGCTTTCCCGGCACATCGTGCCTCGACCTCCCGGTCGACTTCGAGCCGGCGTCCGAAGAATGCGGCTAAAAGTTTTGCGAGATCCCGAGTTTGTTTTGGGAGATTTCGCAAAACTTTTGCGAGATCCCGAGTTATTTTTGCGTGATCTCGCCAAAGTCCGTCTTAATTTTTTTTTCTCCCATGTCCCCTGCGGGGCTCCGTAGGAAACACCACCTGTTAGGTGTATAATGACTTATTACTAACAGGTGTAAATTAAAGTCTTTTACCATACCATGCATAACAGCTTTTGTCTATTAATGATTCTTTGTTGGTTTTAAGTTTTTATTACTAAAATGATATTTTGATCTAACAAAAACTAATTACTTTCCCTTTTTTAAAATCATCAACAAAGCAGAATAACTGTGAAGTGTAAGAAAATATCTCTAAGGTATTAGCTATTTATGTCTTAGCTACCTATTAACATGTTTACGCCTACTTTGAAACAATCACTATGAAGCTGTGTTCATAAGCCCAGTAGGCTTTTGCATTTTATAATCAATAGCCTAATAGCTTAAAAAAAAAAACTTCTTAAAAAATGGCTCTTTACCAATGGTTCTAGAGCCTCGTGTTTGTGCCCCTAAGCTAGGCTCAATGGCTATTAGCTTTAGCACCTTCTTTGACATACAGGCATGAGATTGGTTTCACACTTCTCATCTAACTCTGCAAGACAGCAAATAAGTGTATTTCCCAAAATGTGAAGCTATTGCTTTAAGATCCCATACAGATAGACAGCAGTCCACTGTCTTAAGTTGCACACTTTTAACACAAAATCCATTCAGTTATTGTCCTTTTAAAGTAGTGGTTAAAGAAGTCAGTGCTATCCACTTCATAAATTGTTACATTATGTTCCACCATTTATATCCAGGCACCTGAACTCAATTTGTAAGACAAACCTCTGCAGTAATCACAGGAGGGCCATCTTTTTAAAATGAGTTTGAAGCATGCGTAACAAAATCAAGACCACTTGCTGTTTAGTAGAGATGATCCTCAGAAAGAAAACAGTCAAAGTTTATTTCCTTCAGAATTTTCTATCTGATCTCTACGCATGTGCACAAGTAGGTTTTCTTTATTTTCTATTTTCAGTCTTATTTTGAGTTAGGACTCATACCACAAAATGCCCCACCCCCACCCCAAGACAGATGAGAGGCCGTGTATCAAAGGTCACTAGTCCTTGCACCAAGGGCCAGATCGCCCAGCGTGGCAAAAAAATCCTCCATTTCCTTTTCCAAGAGGCGGTTGCGATTCTCCGCATCCTCCCGTGCCCGCTCAGAGTTTCTGAGTTTTATCTCCAGCATGCGCTGCTTCTTCCTCTCCTGCTCCATCTCCTGTTCCAAACGCTCCATCTGGGCACACAGAGCAGCACTAGACTCTTCCAATCTGTGTGGAAGCACAATACACACAGAAAAGGTCACGGACATTTGCCTTTTTTCTGTTTGGCTGAACCACCCAGTAAAGCACATTTCAAACAACTTCCTACCTTCCCAACTTTTTGTCTGACCCGTGTGCCCAGATTAATACTAATGTGATATTCTTGGCATTGGAGGAAATAAAACAAATCTGCCCTGCAAGAACCGCTGTTAGCTATCTCTCTCTCTACATATATATATGTCTTACTTGCATAATATAATCTCTATCAGTTTTCTGCAAACATTTCCAACACTATCTGGAGCTGAGCTACCAAAACTGGCACACAGGTATAGCTTATAGTTCTTATCTATAGCAGATAATAACATCATCACGTTGCCTAGCCAACACCTACCAAGGGCTATAATGACCCATTTGCAGCATTTATGCACTTCTAATGCCTTATAAGAGCGTTGTATAACTTTAATTTTGCAACGGTAAAATTTCCTTTATATCCAGCTTTAATTATATATAATATATTATGATGTCATCATGTTGCCATGCAACCACCTAACAACAGACTAAAATTATAGACCAAACAATGTGTCCAAATTCATGGGCTGCATCCTCCTGAGGACGCATTTGTAGACCGATTACATCACAGCGACGCGCCGAAGGCTGTCCAAATTCGTAGACTCCTCCGAATGCAGCCGACAAATGCGTCCTCCTTTTCCCCAAATTTGAAGGATGGGTCGGGTGTGTCCTTCGTGGCCCACCATATCCCAGAATTCATAGCGCGGCCCAGCCAAACTCCAGTTTCCGGCAATGGCGGCCGCTACTAAGTTTTAAAATTACTCTTATTAATCTTTCTGGGTCACAAAATAAACTTTTAACATATTTTCAGACAAGAATGTGGGTGTGTAAACTTCAAATATCTGCTCGGTTTATCAAGATATCACATATTTCCAAAAGTGCTTCAATGTTTTCGGAGACGTCTGTTATCCACCAGCTCGATAGCTAGCCAAGAGCTGGCTATCTAGGGTCACTAGAGCCGCAGAGAATGGCACAACTCCCGGCACATCATTTTCAGATCACCGTGGGCTTTCGCTACTCAGGTTAAACGTAATATATAAGTCACTTAGACAACCTAAAATGTTATTGTTTGGCTTTTTTCAGTGTTTTATTTGTTGTAAAGTTATTAGATTAGATAAAATAAAACTTTATTAATCCTCTGGGTGGGTTCCTCCTTGGTTTTCAAACAGCTGAATAAACGTCAAACAGAAAACGGATTAAACAGAAGTGTGAGATTTACGCCAGTGTCCTGTTATATTTTAGATAGCAAGGAGCAGACGGCCAAGTTTATTAAACTCCACTGAGACAGCGGTAACGCTAATCAGAAGGCTAGACCGTCCAATTTCACAGTCGTTTACTTCCGGCTTACCCAACCTGAGGACCCGGCCCACGTAGACCGCGAAGGCCGGGTCCTCAGGAGGATGCAGCCCATGAATTTGGACACGCTAATAATGACGCATGGGCACAGGTATATAAATATGCTGCTTCCAGCCCAATGATTTAACATTTTGTTTGTTGCTTAAAGCACCTCTGTGTCATGGTCCTGGGTCATGTGACCCAGTATTCTGAGTTTTGTTATTTTTTTCAGTCTAGTTTCATTTCAGTTTATCTAGTTACATTCTGTCATGCCTAGGTTACAGTTTTAATTCATGATTTATCAAGCTCCCCATTTTTAAGAAGAATAAGGACCCACTTAAATGTGAGTCATATCGCCCAGTAAGTTTACTTGGATGTGATTATAAAATACTGACCAAGGTACTGGCAGCTAGAATTGAGCTTGTCATAAGTAAGATAATACATCCTGATCAGACTGGGTTTGTTGCAGGTAGACAACTCTCCAGCAATCTCCGCCGTCTGTTCAATGTAGTATATACTGCTGAAGATAACATTATGCCAGAGATTGTGATATCCTTAGATGCCCACAAAGCCTTTGATCGAATAGAGTATTACTATCTATTTACAGCCCTCGAAAGATTCGGCTTTGGTCCAACATTTTGCTCATGGATTAAAATAATTTATTCGAGCCCCCAGGCTATGGTGAGAACGAATAATATCATATCTGAACCCTTCTCTCTATTCCGGGGAACAAGACAGGGGTGCCCTTTGTCACCCCTGCTCTTTGATGTGGCAATTGAACCCCTTGCGATGATGCTGAGACAGGCTGCTGAATTGGTAGGGATACAAAGGGGGACACAAAACCATAGGCTGTCCTTATATGCTGACGATCTCCTCCTTTTTCTGTCAAACCCTGCCACTAGTATCCCGGTGGCCCTTGGTATTATCAAAGATTTTGGGAGGGTGTCGGGCTATAAAATTAATTTAGACAAAAGTGTTCTTTTCCCCATTAATAAACAGGCGAGGAAACTTTCTTTCCGGGCCTATCCCTTTGCAATACATAAGGATAGATTCGCATATTTAGGTGTTAATGTAACTAGTAAGTATAAAGATTTACTGGACTATAACTTTAAAGTTGCACTGGACAAAGCGAAATTAGATATGGAAAGGTGGGCGTCGCTCCCCTTATCATTAGCAGGGAAGGTAAATTCTGTTAAAATGATTATACTGCCGCGGCTCCTCTATTTATTTCAGACGATACCGATTTTCATTCCTAAATCATTTTTTAAGGAATTGAACAAATGTACGTCTGCCTTTATTTGGAAAAAAACTATCCCCAGGATAAGACGGGAGTTTCTTGAGAGACAGAAAGAAGAGGGAGGTCTGGCTCTGCCGAACTATATGCACTACTATTTTGCTGCTAATATACATAAGTTGTTATTTTGGGTCAAAGAGTTGGATGAGGATGAAACCCTAATATGGGTTCATATGGAAAGGTATGTCTCTAGTCCAGTGTCCCTGCGCTCCCTGGTCTGCGCTCCTCTACCCTTGAGCAAACATCTTTACACAAACAACCCGGTGGTATCTCATTCTCTGAAAATTTGGACTCAATTCAGATCACATTTTAAAAACAGAACCGCCCTCCTGTCTGCTCCCATCTATGGAAATCACTTGTTTCCCCCAGCCCTCGGGGGAACAGCCTTTAGGGAATGGCATAGAGCTGGGGTGGAATGTGTCAAACATCTTTTTAAAAATGGTACTTTTATGTCTGCTGCTCAACTGGAAAAGGACTATGGAATTTCCTCCAAGACTAATTACTTTAGATATTTCCAGGTTCGGGACTTTGTGAAAAAGTCATTCAGCCCCTCCCTCGAGCTTCCACAAAGCGGATGGATAGACGAGTTGATGGACACAGATCCGACTACTAAGGGGACAATCTCCACGCTATATACACATATTCAGAATGTGGCTTCCCCCTCCCTGGACAATGTAAGACGGAAATGGGAGGAAGAATTGGGGCTGGACATTTCAGAGGTTGACTGGGGGGGGCTGTAGATCTAGTACACTCTGCTTCTATATGTGTGAGACACGGATTGATACAGTTCAAGGTGTTGCACAGACTGCATTTGTCAAGGGAGAAACTGGCAAGAATGTACCAGGGGGCCAATCCGACCTGCCCCAGATGTAAACAGGTACCAGCCAACTTATGCCACATGTTCTGGTCTTGTTCCAGGCTGAAAGACTTTTGGGCTAACATCTTTAGAACATTCTCATTCATTTCTAATAAGGATATGGAACCAATGCCTCTGACAGCCATCTTTGGTGTGGCACCGAGGGAAACTCAACTAACAGCCTCTCAGAGGAAGGCAATAGCATTCGCCTCATTGCTGGCTAGGAGATTGATTCTACTTAACTGGATAAAGGCAACACCGCCATCCCATAAACGCTGGGTGGAGGAGGTGATGGCACACCTCAAATTAGAACATCTCAGATTTACTATACAGGGCAACACCAAGAAATTCTTTAAGGTCTGGCAGCCTTTCATTTCCTATTTTGAAGATGAGTTTCCTTCCACTCCATAACTGGCAACTCCCCCCCCCCCCCCCCCCCCCCCCCCCCCCCCCCCCCCCCCCCCCCCCCCCCCCCCCCCCCCCCCCCCCCCCCCCCCCCCCCCCCCCCCCCCCCCCCCCCCCCCCCCCCCCCCCCCCCCCCCCCCCCCCCCCCCCCCCCCCCCCCCCCCCCCCCCCCCCCCCCCCCCCCCCTTTTTTTTTTTTTTTCCCTTTTCTTTTCTTCCTCTGTCTGGGTATAGTTTTGTCTTACACTGTGCGGTAGGACTTGAGTTCGAGCTTTTCTGTATGAATGATATGCTTTCTGAAAACTCAATAAAAACACTTTGATTATTATTATCAAGCTCCCCATTTGTCTCATCCCTGTGTGAAGTTTTTTGTGTTAAGTCTTCGTGTGCTTATCTGTCATGTGTCATGTCCAAGTTTTCTTTGTTTGTCAAGTTCGAGTCATGTCTGGGTCTCGCTATGTTTCTCGTTTTATTTTGAAGGATCCTTGTGTTTTTTGTTTATTGTATTTAGCTTCGCGTCCCCTGTCCTGTCATTATGTTAATTGTTGTCAGCTGTTTTCCCCGTGTGATTCCGCTTCCCCTGATCATTCCTTATGTGTACTTAATCCGTGTGTTTCTGCTCAGTCGGTGTCAGATCGTCTGTTATCCTCACCTCATCTTTTCATAGTTTCCGTTATTGTCTCACTGTTTCATAGCCTGCCTAGTTACTCTGTGTTCATAGTTTTTTCATAGTTCTTTCACAGAGTGTCATAGTCTTTTTAGTTTACACAGTGTTCTTAGTCTCCTTAGTTTTCCCAGTTTCAGTGTTCTCTAATGTTTTTGTCATGCCATCAGCCACAATAAAGGCTCGCTTTATTTTTGGAAACCTAGTTCTGTCTCCACTGTGTCTGCATCTGGGTCTACCTCTTCTTCACACCGGTGCACCCCGCCGTGACACTCTGTGTATGTCTTAAAAAACATGCCATTTATTTCCATGACAGGTTTTAGTTGCAAAAAGGGAAAGGTTTTTGAAAATACCAGTTCATTTTCAGTGTTACAGATAACAACATTTTAAGTGTTAACACACTTAAATTGGTGTGTTACAAACTGAGCATAGGTGTGCTTTAACCATGCCATTTGGGTTTAGTATAAAAAATGGTAATTGGAATTATGGTAAATATACAATCTTTTGTTTTGGGAACTTTTTCCATCTCAGGATGTATTTCATATTTATTTATTCAGTCTTTATTCACTGTCTTCCTGACGTGTTCCCCCAACTGTAAAGAACAGCAATACGAAAGTGCCCTTTAAAGGGCTCACAGCAGGTTGTAATTGAAGTACTTCCATTGGTTCTGTGCTAATGAAATAAAAGCCTGACATCCAAAACCATAAAGTTCATTCAAATGTCTTTCTATTTACCATATAAAAGACCGACACTACTATTATAAGTTTGAAAGATCCTGCATCAGAGACTTACTTTTGGATCCTGGCCTCATATGTAGTCTTCTGTTTTCTCAGCTCGTCTTTCAGTCCCTCTACCAGGCTGCTCAGTGTTAGTTTTTCCCCATCTCCATCTTCGGACATGATAATGGACGGCACCCCGGCTGCCGTGGCCACGTTTCCATTTTCACTGCAGGCTGCGCTGCTGCTGCACAGCTCCATGGCCTCGCAACTGTCCTGCTCGGAGCTCGCGTCTGTCGTCATCCCTCCATCCCTTTCTTTGTTAATCTCTCTGTGGCTTTCTCCATCTTCCACCACACCTCCACAGTTCTGGTGCACCGGGGGCTCGCTTGCTGAGTCCGGGACAGATATTTCACAGGAGGACGTGGACCACGGTGTGCTGGATACACTTGGAACGCTCCCCATGCTAGAGGAGGAGGTCACGTTGTCATACGTGGACAGCCTCTGGGACGAGCCGGTGGAGTCACGGTCACGGGTGGACCGTTCCCCTGAAGATGTGCGCCGGTGTCCCCTCAAGGAGGACAAACCGTTCATAAGCCAGTTGCCCCCGCTTCCACCTCCTCCACCACCAGAAGACAGACTGGTTGTATCTGCTGCGGAGCCACTGCTGCTGGTTTGCTTAGCTTGCGGCTGGGAACGAGGCGCTGAAGAGCTTTTGAAGGAATATTTCCAGGAAGGCATGGTCTTGGCTTGTTTACTCGGACTGATTACCGTCTCACCCTTTCCCGATGAAGACCCAAGTTTTGGTCCAGGGTTTGGGTTAGGGGTCTGAGTGGGACTGACGGCTGCGCACAGCTTGGCGTCCAGGGATGAGGCACTGCTGTGCAGATCTTGGTCTGGGTTGGAGACGGGGCAACTCTGAAGGTCCTCTTCAGAGATCCAGGCTCCCAGGCTGCGGTGTTGGAGATGATGCCCTTGGATGGGGATCTCAGTTTGGGGTAGAGCTGGCCCCTCCTGTTCCCTCCCTGAGTACAAACGGTTGTGTTCCCTGATGAGGACTGTCATCAGGTGCTGGACAAGAGAAGTTCCTAGACAATACAAATCACATTCAGCCGGTGTCGGTATAACTTTTTTAGTTTTATTCTAAACTATCATTTTTAATAAATAAATTACAGAAAAACAGAACCTTATTTGATTGTCATTAATTTTCTGTACCTTCCATGATAGTGACTGGGTCCTCCATCTTCGGTCTAAGGATGTTAGGTCCAAATACTGTGGCAAGGTTCTGGACACTCATCTTGTTCTCATTACAGTGGGACTGGACCTCATCAAGGAATCTAAGGAGAGATATAGTGAAAAACTAGAGTAAAAAACTGATTAGGCTACAAAAGCCTAAGTTCTCAACCTAACGGGTGAAGTCACTCACTTGCATATGTACTTGAGGAGGTTGTAGTTCGGTAGAGGTAGAGTGCTAACTTGCTTTCCAAGCTCCTGGACTCCCTGATATGAGACAAATCATCCTTATTCTACTCACAGTACCACTCAAAGTCCTCACACCAAAGGTAAACAGCACATACCTCCTCCTCATCTTTGGCCAAAAGCTGCGCACAGGTTAGAAAGTCTTCATATTTGGAGAAGGGGATAACTGGTTCAGGCAGCTCTCGCAGGTACAACTTCAGCAAGGATGCCACTGTGTGGACGTCTGTGTTACTGCAAGTCAGAAAGAAAGATGATTCAGTAGAATTCAAATCAGTGATGATCATAAAAGTCTTTGGCAAAGTGAATTTTCCCATTTCATCCTCTCACCCACCTGTCAAACAGGGGCTTGTCCCCACAGTCGAAGGCCTCCTGCAGCTCCCTGACCAGGTTGGCCTGTCCTGGCATTCGAAAGAGACCTTCCTCATCCAGACCCCTCTCTCTGATAAAGTCCACACACTGCTCAACCAGCAGGGGTGCAAGGCGGGGGCCAAACTTCTTCTCGTACTGCACTGTGTCCTCTAGATGCTGGCCAAATATCCCTGTTGACAGATGGAAGAAACATAACATGTCAGGGCTTTCTGAAGGCACGAGGCCGTAGTTGGTTTTTGGATTGTGGAGCAAGTGATGAAAATATGTACATTTATTCTGTGGGAAAATTGAATATGACAGGATGTTTCTGGAACAGCATTTTTTGGTTATTTGTAGCCTTCATATGATTACAAAGATAATTAATAAATAAATAAAAAGTGACAGTTAACATGAACAGAGGAAAAAAATGCCCAGAATAAATATGCAATTTTATGCCAGGTTATTACCTGTTGTTTGGCTGCAGCAGTCACAGCTGGATGTTAGCTTGCAGTAATGGTAGTAATTGAAAGAACAGGAGCTGCACAGTTGCAGAAAGCGTTTGTCATACCTCCCCAGCCCACATTTCACCATGTTCATCCATTCCTGTTCAGGCATTTGACTCTTGTAGCTGGTAATTAATCTTTCATTTATCCCACAGACTTCAGCAGAAACAAGCCAAGTTGAGGAAAATGACAGAGAAGCTTGGAAAGAGCAGCTGAGGAAGCAGAGACATGTTGCATGGGATCTGCTGTGACTGCAGTGCTGCTGTTAAGGAGGGGTCTATGATTTGGCACAGATCTATTCTGGACACAGAGGCAGCAGACTGGCACATTTTGCCTGTGAACTGGAGAGGGAGGCTGGAAATACCACCCAGCCGGTCAGGGGATTCACTCTGAACATACACAGCAAAATCTCCAGTGTTAATTTAACACTGGAGATTTTGCTGTGTAGGTGTCAGTGTATTGACTTTCACTGTGCATTTAGTATGAATGTTGAGGGGAAAGTGAAAATTCTAGTGATATAGGCTAATGATAAGCTAAGCTAATGCGCAAAAATATATTATTATATATTCATTCTATTGTTTCTTTTTCACAATTTTTTTTCTATCTCGTTTTAAAACTTTTCCTTTGGAAAGATAAACCCCCGCGTATCAGCTTAAAAACGCTTCAAAGAACCAAGGATAAAGTCCCCTTCTGGCCACATGTGCCTCAATTTTATTCCACAACTTAGACATCCACATTACTCACACTCTCATAACACATACATATAGGACCTTGAGGGTGGGCACGTTAACGGCGTCCAGTGGATGGTCTGTGTATTCAACCCCACCTCTGGCGCCGGTGCCCACCTCTCAATTTTAAATCCATGTAGACATTGAGGGTTCTCGGGAGGAGCCGTGCTAACGCCTGCTGCTCTCTGGCAGCAGCACCATGCTCTCCCGTATTTTAAATGCACCTTAGAACAACACGCAGCAACACTACACATGAGCGAGAGGAGGGAGGTTTGGAGTCTTCACACACCCCTGTTCTCTGCTGGCCATTGGGGCGGGGGGGCTGGAAGGAGGTGTTGGCCGTCCCTGCTGCTGCAGAGCCTGGGGTGGTCTGCTTGCCTCCACCCTGGGGGAAAGGGTAACATCTCCTGGGTCTAGGTGCCGTTTCCCCCTCCAGGGGCGAGGGTACCTGGACCCGGGATATAGAGTTTGTTTGGGGAGTGTGATTGTGTGTACAGTGTCCATGTATGTCTATCCCTACGTTGGGTTAGTGCTGAGTATTTGTATATGTGTGCATGAGGGTGGGAATGCATGTTTGTGTCCGTGTCTATATGTCAGGTCGGGTCTTACACTCCACCTCTCTGGGAACTCCCAGGCCCTCCAAGGCCTATCTCCCCTCACCACACTCCCTGCCGTTAACTGATGCCCTCAGGGGTCGGTGCGTTGGTGGTTCTTGGTGACCGGGGCTGGGCGCTCAGGTATGTACCGGCTCACTCCCGGTGACTACTTGGCGGGGCCTGGTGCCTGTTGCTCGGTCAGGCCTCTTCTGGGGCAAAGGGGGGCCTCGGGCCTCCGGCCTCTCGGCCTGCGGCTCAGTTCACTCTGGCACAGCTGGCTGCCGGCAGCTGGCGCCACTGCAGCCCCCTCTGGCTTCTGCTCCGTGGCTACTGGGTGACCCCTCATCTGGGGCTCTCCTCAGCTTTTCCCAGGAGGGTGGCACGGATGCCCCTCCGGTGGTCCTCCTTGGGCTCTCGCACTCTGGGGCCTCTGGATGTCTGGGGCCTGGATCTCCTCCATGCCTGCTTCATGCCCTGGGGGACCGGGCTATGGCTCTCTACATCCTCTAGCAGACTATTACATGTGGAAACCTGGAAACCATTTGAATACAAGCGCGCTGATCCACACAGGTGTGCACACAGGTGTTCACTGTTCATAGACATAAACTACACCTCTATTGGCTGCCATCTCCAAGCATATTGTGCACTGTCTGTCCTTTTTGCTACACAACAAAATTCAATATTTAGTATTTACTGCTGTTTACACTTAGCTAGATTAATGCGATGCTGTTGTGTTTAGTATGTTGCTCTGTTTTTTTTGCTTGTTTTCTCTTCTTTTTCTCTCAACAGGTGATCCAGGAGATTTTTTTTTCTTCTTTCTCTTTTTAAGTGCCCTTTTTCCACTGTCCCTCTCCCCTTCTGTTTTTCTTTTCCTTCATCTTTCTTTCTCCCTTTCCTATCCCTCAGTCATGTCTGTCCTGTTTGTAACAACTGAAAATAAAATAAAATAAATAATAACAACAAAGGTCGATCAAATGGACCAATACGGCAAGGCCGTGATGATCCATTTGCAAAGTAAATCCATTGGGTATCCTTGTTGGTCTGCAGACAACAAATCTGACGGCTAAAGAACCAAATGGGACAGGCAAAAAAAAAAAAAAAAAAAAAAACTTTTTAAAGGTGCTTTAGTTTTTTTTCCTTTCGAAGACCTACACAAAAGCTAGCATTTTTTGCCATCTTTTCAACGGTCAAAAATCTAGAAAAAAACATGCTAGCTTTTTGTCCTAGCAGCACAAAAAGCTAGCATTTCAGAAAAGTTAACAAAAAGCTGGACAAAAATGCTGTTAGAATTTTATCAGTTGCTAGCACAAAATGCTAGCGTTTTAATAAAAAGCTAGCATAGACAAAAAACTAGCACATATTTATTACAAGATTAAAATGAATTATTATTTTTCCAATCTTTTGGGGGGTATTAAAAAAGTTCAGATAGTGAGAAATGCTGTCATTGTCCAAAACGATAAACCAAGTAGATAAACCACCAAGTATAAAATCTATCTATCCATTTTCTTCTATTATCCAAATTGAGGGGGTGGCTAACACAGACACAAATACGTTACACTCACATTCACACTTAATGGTAATTTGGGACCTTTCAATTACTAACTGGATGCCTTTGGATTGTAGAAGTAAGCTGGAGAGAACCCACACAGACGCAGGGAGAACATGAAAACTACACACAGAAAGGCCCCAGCAAGCCAGTGGATTCAAGCCCACATTTAAAACTTCTTGTTTTGTGAGAGCAGTGCTAACCTCCGTGCATAGCATTGTGGTATTGCAACTTTTTCTTAATTAATTAGGCCTATGCTAGCTATTTATAAACGTCTGTTATTTGTGTTTCTTGTGTGGACATTTAAGCTAGTCATGCTTTTCCATCAGCCAAGCTTACAGAACTTCTTTTTTTGGGTGTTTTTATTTTCTAAAATTGAGGGAATAAACAAAGATAAATGACTAATTTTCATAAAGAATAGGTCTGCTAGTTGCCAGCAGCTCTTAAACATGCTTTACTAAAGACAAGGATTAAAATTAGATTAATGATATCATACAGTATATTATTTATGTGTTATTCTACATTTATCCCCCTGTTAATATAGAGCTGCTTTGTAACCCAACACCTTCCTGCTCAGCTGCTCCTTATGCCCCACATCATAACCAGACAGGCCTGGTTATATTTCTGGCCTTAGACATCCCGAGCAGACAGGGTGAGAATTACCTGCAGGCTAAAGAAATGAGACAGAGTTGGGGTTGGAGATAGTTTGCATAGCTCAGCTCAAGTGTGTTACCTAAACATTAAAGACAGAGCAGAGATGTGGACTGCAGTCTTTTCTATTCTAGCAGAAAGAGCAAGTTTCATATATTTTGGGCGATGTGTTGAGCTTATAAGGCAGAGAGGAAATCTCCTGCACTGGAAGGCATGCCTTGAATTATTGCTGGCAAAGAAATATGAATAATATATCTTGCTTTCTTTTACACAAAGATGATGAACAAAAGCAGTGTTAGCTGGGCGTCGGGGGGTTCCCCGGAGGCATTTTCCTTGGGGGGCTCAACCCGGGGTAGCGGTCATGTCTGGTTAGGGCTCTGTTGGCTCTCAGGTGACTGTTTCCTCGCGGCTGCGTGCAGCGGGACTAGGGGAGGGTCTGTGCTGACGGACGTGGGTTACTGACCTGGTAGCCTGGCTGCCCCTGGGTGGGTCCGGGATGGGCGTGAGCTTTCCTCTCCTCAGGGGCTCTCTCTACAGGAGGGGGAGATACAGGAGAGGTGGAGGAAGATCTCAGCCTGGGTGTTTATTGTCTTATGTAGTCTGGAAGAAGAGTGATGGTGGGGTGGGTGCAGTTTTCTCTGTGGTGGGATTGGGTGGACTGTCCTGGGCTCTGTGGGGCCGGGAGGCGCTGCTGCGCTGGGCCCCGGTCTGGATGGACCTGGGCCCCCTTTCCCTGGTGGGTCGCGGAGTATGGGGGTGCCTACTGGGGTCAGCAGGGGAGCTGGCCCCAGGGAGGGTCACTTGCCCCTCCCTTCCTTCCTCCCATCCCAGCTGCCTCCCTCTTCCCGCTCCACCACAACCACCACACATGCAGGACCTTGGAGTAGGGGTATATGCAGAGGAGCCACCCCCCCCCCCCCCCCCCCCCCCGTCCCCTTCTGGCTGCCTCTGCCTCAATTTTATCCCACAATTTAGACATTCACATTACTCACACTCTCATTACACGTACATATAGGATCTTGGGGGTGGGCACGATACACGGAATCCAAAGTACCATCAGGGTGTACACCCCACCCCTGGCGTCGTTGCCCACCTCTCAATGTTAAATACACGTAGACATTGAGGGCTAGCAGGAGGGACCATGCGCTTACCTGCTGCTCTCTGGCAGGTAGCTCCATGCCCTCCTGGGTTTTAAATGCACCTTAGAACACACATGCATCAACATTACAATGAGCGGTGGAGGGAGGTTTGGAGTCTTCTCTCACCCCCATTCTCTGCGACCTGCTGGAGCAGGGGGCTAGGACTAGGAGGAGGAGTTGGCCGTCCGACTGCGGTCTGGAGTGTGGGCCTCCCTGCTGCTGCGGGATCGGGCGTCTGCCTCCCCCCACCGCAGGGAAAAGGGTAACACCACCTGGGTCTGGGTGCAGTTCCCCCCCTCCAGGGGCAAGGGTACCTAGACCTGGGGCTTAGAGTACGCTTGGGGAGTGTGATCGTGTGTACAGCGTCTCTTTATGTCTGTCTCCACGTTGGTTGAGTGTGGAGTAAGTGCATATGAGAGCATAAGGGTGGGAATGGATGTTTGTATATGTGTGTGCCTGTATTTCTGTGTCTATATGTCAGGTTGGGTGTCAGGCGCCACCTCTCTGGGGACATCTTAGGCCCTCCAAGGTATGGAGGCCTATCTCCCCCTACCACCACTTCCCCTGCCAGTGGCGGACTCCCTCAGACATCTGTGCGTTGGTGGTTCTTTGTGTCCGGGGATGGGCGTCCAGGTACACACCGGCTCACTCCTTGGCGGCCGCTTATCGGGGCCTGGAGCCTGGGGCTTGCTCGGGCCACTTCGGAGGTGGGGTGCCCCCGGCCTCTCGGCCTGGGGCTCGGTCACTCAGGCACGGCTGGCTGCCGGCGGAGCTCACGGGCGCGTCACTGCAACTCCCCCTGGCTTCTGCTCCGCGGCTGCTGAGTGAGCCCTCATCTGGGACTCTCCTCAGCTCTTTCTGGGACAGTGGCGCAGCTGCCCCTCTGTTGGTCTTCCTTGGTCTCTTGTATTCTGGGGGCCTCTGGATGTCTGGAGTTTTGATCTCCTCCATACCTGCTTCATGCCCTGGAGGACGGGGCTGTGGCCCCCCCACACCCTCTAGCAGATTATTACATGAAGGAACCTTTTAAAAAACAAAAAACAAGCGCATCCATGCTCACAGGTGTACACACGGGTGATCACACCCACAAACTACACCCTTTTTGGCTCCTACCTCAAAGCACACTGTGTTCTGTTGATCTTATGTGCTGCACAATAATGTTTAATATTTAGTATTTACTGTCATATTCCCATATATCATTGTGATGTTGTTTATTCTATTACTCTTGTTCTCTTCTGCTTGTTTTCTTTTTTCTTTCTCAGCAGGTGACCCAGGTGATTGATATATGCATGTTTTTTCTTTTTTTCTTCTTTTTTTTCTTTTTCTGCTCATTCTGTTGGTTTATGTTTTTTGCCCTTCTCCCCCGTCCCTCTTCTCAGCTGTTTCTCTTTCCCTCTTTCTTTCTCCCAGTCAAGTCTGTCCCATATTCAGTAAGTGAAAATAAAATAAACAATAAAAGGTGAATCAAATGGACCATTATGGCAAGGCTGGGATGGTCAATTTGGTAAAGTAAATCCGTTGGGCATCTTTCTTTGCCTTTAGACAACAATTCTGATGGCAAAAGAGCCAAACGGGACAGGCCAAAAAAAACAAACAAAAAAACAAGCAGTGTTAGCTTGGCTTTTATGTTTGTATATTTTCCTTAGAGAAATATGGATTTTTAGTTGCTACTGATTGGTGGCCTAATATGTTTTTTTCGTGTTTCAGTTCAAAGGTTTGGCTTTACCTCCTCCAAATGGTGCCCAGATGACCCGCCGTATGGCCTTGACCCAGTCGTCCATATCGCTCTGGGAGTTTGCCATGAGCAGGAAGGATTCATGGCTGATGGGTGCCCGATCCTTCTCTCCTGTTCCGCCTGCGGGGACACACAAGGAAGAAGCGTATGAGTGAGTACAACAGAGATGAAATAGGGCTTAATCGTGGAATCAAACTTGTGCTCTGCAGTGTGATGCTACTAGATGGGTTTTATTTTTGGTTATTTGTTTGTTTTTTTGTCTTCATAGGGAACTGCCTCATAAATTTACCTTGAAATAAATGTCAAACTGCTCAGGACTTTCTCTGAAGTATCCTAGCAGTTGAATACAAGATAATAAATTGTTGAGAAGATGAACTCTAACAGAAAAAACATTTAAAACAAACCATTACTGTTAAGAATTAACAAGTAACTATTACAGATATCATAAACATGTAACATGATAAATAATAAGCCAAAAACCTCACAGATCTGATAAAGGGGAAATGATTATTTGGATTAAGTTGGAATTGTGATAGCAGCAGATTTCGCAGAGAGCATTGTTTACTAGTTACACATATATAAGTGAATTTGATCTTCTTTACCTTAAGGTGAAGAGGTTTTGAACTCTTATTAGGTCTCTATACATGTTTGATACCAAAATAATACATTTAAACTGAAAACAAGTCCAAAACATACATTTGCACTGGACTTGAGTGGGCTAAATGCTGGGGTAAACGTTTTGGTTTGGTAAGGTGGATTCAATTCAATTCAATTCGCCTCAAGGCACTTTATATTGTAAGGTAGACCCTACAATAACACATACAGGGAAAAACCCTGTAAAAAAAACTTTGGCGAAAGTGGGAAGGAAAAACTCCCTTTTAACAGGAAGAAACCTCCGGCAGAACCAGGCTCAGGGAGGAGCGGGGCCATCTGCTGCAACTGGTTGGGGAGAGAGAAGGAAGACAGGATAAAAGACATGCTGTGGACAAGAGCCAGAGATTGATAACAAGTGTGATTCAGTGTAGAGAGGTCTGTTAACACATAGTGGGTAATAAATGTAACTGAGGCGGAAATACTCATAGGATGCATCATCGGAATCCCCCAGCAACCTACACCTATTGCAGCATAACTAACGGTGTGTTCACACCGAACGCGATAGAGGCAGGCAGAGCGTCAGGCTTACATGTAAAGTCAATGGAAAGGCGCGCTGACCCGCGATTGCGGCTCCCGCGAAAATTCGGAAGCAGATTTGCGTCGCGAAAACGCGAAAACGCCTGAAACGCGCGTGAGTGTAGCGCGTTTCAGGCGTTTGACTCGCGAAAAAAAACACGCGCGTGAGTTTATGTGTTGCATTTTGTGCATACACGCGTTTCGCGTCCCCCGCTCGAGTTGGAAAAATCTGAACTCCAGCGTCAAATCGCGCCGCGACAACCAATCAGGAGCCTGGTGACGTGGCTGTTACCTAGTTCAAAGAGGCAGATCCAGCCAAAGCCCTTTATTCTTCAATAGAAGGAAGGCTAATCAATGCCGTAGCAAACAACCCGGAGCCGTACGACACCAGCTGCTTTCTGGACCGAGACAGGAATATAAAGGACCGAGCTTGGAGGAAGATATGTAAAGAGATCGGGCAACCTGGTAAGTTCATTCATTTCTCTTAAGTTTTCTCTAAAGTTTTCACTGACCCGGGGAAGCCGCACAAAAGCTAGCAAGCCACCGCTATTTTCCCACTGACGTACAAATACCGTTCTGCTTTTAGGCATGTTGTCATTTAAGAATATATTTTATTGTTTATTAATAAACAGCACACAGTGGTCCCGCTGTTCATCTGTCACTGCCTCTTTTTTCTTAATTTTCATTTTCTTTTTTTTGCACCGGACAGCATTGCATTCTGCAGCCTGATTGACAAATCTCCTGCGCTTGCCAAATTTATCATGTTTGGTTTTGATAACCATCACGTCCAATAGAAAAAACAGCACAAAAACACCCATAACTATGAGCCTCATTCGGAAATAGACACCTGCACCGCGAGGGAAAAAGGCGCACGAAAGTGGCGGGCAGATGAAGACAAAACACGGCATAATAATACTTTTACGTTTTGCAATCTACAAAGGTTTGCACTTTGAGAATAAATTGTGAGAACTGTGACCAATGTTCATGTGTGTGGGGAAAACAGTGTATAAAGTGCGTGGCCAGGGGCTAGTTATTCTGAGAACCCCTGCTGCAATAAATGAGGGACCACTGTCTACTCTATGATTATTATATTCAACCTGTTAACATTTAATACTGTATTGATAGAACCAACTGATTCTGAAGCAGAGCATCCCCTGTTGCTTCTCCTGGCTCCCCAGTCCCTGAGCTCCTGCTGCTGCACCCACAGATATGTACAGCAAGCACTGATACCTTTTAGTCGTGGATTGCCTGTGATCACCTTTACTAAAGATCTACAACCAATCTGATTATATCCTGTTTTTGGTTGTTTGTTTTTTCAATGTTGAAATTAAAATCTAGTAGCACCCTTCTCATTTCTTTGTGTTTTGTGCTGTTTTACAGGCCCACAGGGGAGGACGGCTCCGAGGCAGATGAGGGACGGGTCCCAGGACGGTCCATCGGTGGTGGAGCTGGAGCCACACCAGTCTCCAATGGAGCATTTCCTCCTCAGCCTGGTTCCTGCTCTGGAGAGCAGCTGGTCCTTTTTATTCCTGTCTCTCTGTAAATACTTATATTTTATATATTTATGCTTAATGTATTTCTGTGTGAGAATTTTAATATTATTTCAAATCAAAAATCAACCAAGATGGCGCCGCGTATGGTTGCCCTGGTGCTTCAGTGCGTTACTTTTGTTTTGTTTTTGTGCATTTCTTCTGTGTCTGGGCACTCCTCTGGATACTCGTACACCAGAGAAGAGCTCCTTAACTACAGGACTACAACGCCTGTGGATTTATTTCCAATATTTGTCGCATCTGCGGCAGATTTACTGCTGACTCTGACCAGGAAAGCGAGACGCCGAAAGAGAGGGAAGCGAGCCGGCGCACTCGTGCGTTTGAGGAGACGCGGACTGCGAACTGCTCTTCCTGGGATCTTCCTTTCTAATGTACGCTCACTCGGGAATAAGATTGACGAACTGGCCCTGATGAGAAGCATGAACAGAGACTTTGCCTCCTCCTGTGTCTTATGTTTTACGGAGTCGTGGCTCAGTGAGAACATCCCAGACTGCGCGCTCAAGCTGGAGGGCTTCCATCTGCTGCGCGCGGACCGCAGGCCGCTCTCTCCGGTAAGTCCAAAGGTGAGGTCTCTGCTTCTACATCAATAGTGGCTGGTGCACAGATGTGACAGTGATTGCTCAGCACTGCTCTTCCTCTCTGGAATATCTTTTTATCCACTGCAAACCGTTTTATTCTCCGCGGGAGTTTGCTTCATTCATCCTGGCCGCTGTTTACATCCCGCCAGACGCAGATGCGCAGGCAGCTCAGTGCGCACTCACGGAGCAGATTCTCCACACAGAGCGGACATTCCCGGACTCTCTCATCATTGCTCTTGGGGACTTTAACAAAGCCAATCTGAGCCATGAGCTCCCGAAATATAAGCAGTATATTAAATGCCCGACCAGAGAGGAGAGGACATTGGACCACTGCTACAGCACGATCAGCGGGGCCTATCGCGCGGTGCCCCGCTCTTCACTCGGACTTTCTGACCACGTCATGATCCACCTAATCCCGCGTACAGACAGAGGCTGAAGCTCTCCAAACCTGTCGTGAGGACTAAAAAACTGTGGAGCAACGAGGCTGTGGAGGAGCTTCGCACGTGTTTGGAGACCACAGACTGGGACACATTGAAGGCTGCTTCTAACAGCTTGGACGAGTTTACGGACACTGTCACCTCCTATATCCACTTCTGTGAGGACAGCATTGTGCCATCACGCACCAGGGTGAGTTATAACAATGACAAACCCTGGTTTACTCCCAAACTCAAAAAGCTGTGGCTGGAAAAGAGAAAGGCGTTCAGAAGCGGAGACAGGGACTGCTACAGAGAGGCCAAGTACAAGTTCACTAAGGAAGTGGACATTGCTAAACATCAGCACTCTGAGAAGATGCAGCAGCAGATCTCAGAGAATGACTCGGCCTCTGTGTGGAAAGGTTTTAGGAATATTACAAACTACAAGCCTAAAACCCCCCACTCCACTGATGACTTGCTCTTAGCCAACACCCTTAACGACTTCTACTGCCGTTTTGACGAGCCATCAGGCAGCCTTCACACCTCCAACGGCCCCAACAATAGAGGCACTTTGGACACTCATTCCCCCACCTCTCCCCCCTCCATAGAGCCATCACCACCTTCAAACTGTTCACCTACAACACCCCCCTCCTCACCCCACACAAAAGAGGATTTCACACCACAACTCTTCATATTCATGAAGCAGATGTGAGGAAGCAGTTTAAGAACCTGAATGCTCGGAAAGCTCCCGGCCCAGACGGCGTGTCTCCTGCCACCCTCAGACACTGTGCAAACGAGCTGGCCCCAGTGTTTTCTGGCATTTTCAACTCCTCACTGCAGGCATGTCATGTGCCTGCCTGCTTCAAGTCCTCCACCATAATCCCTGTCCCCAAGAAACCTAGGATCACTGAACTAAATGACTACAGACCCGTGGCTCTGACATCTGTGGTCATGAAGTCTTTTGAGCGCCTAGTTCTCTCCCATCTCAGGACCCTCACGGCCCCCCTCCTGGGCCCCCTGCAGTTTGCATATAGAGCCAACAGGTCTGTAGACGACGCCATCAACATGGCCCTACACTTCATCCTGCAGCATCTGGACTCCCCAGGAACCTACGCCAGGATCCTGTTTGTGGACTTCAGCTCTGCCTTCAACACCATCCTTCCAGACCATCTCCGAGGCAAGCTCTCCCAGATGAATGTGCCTGATCCCATCTGCCGGTGGATCACTGACTTCCTGACGGACAGGAAGCAGCATGTGAGGCTGGGAAAGAATGTCTCGGACTCCCGGACCATCAGCACCGGCTCCCCTCAGGCTGTGTTCTTTCTCCTCTGCTCTTCTCCCTGTACACCAACTGCTGCACCTCCACCCACCAGTCTGTCAAGCTAATCAAGTTCGCAGATGACACCACC